TTTCATTTGGCTGAAATAAACAAAAATGAACAAATTTCGTGGGTTAGAGTTCACAAAAATAGCGAAATTTGAAGTATTTATAGTTAGTTTCCATTAGGTCGAAAAAATTAAAATTGGCAATTTTGTAGGTTATAGCTCATGGAAATCGTGAATTTTGAGGTATTTATACTTAATGCCTTTGGTTCGGGAAAAACAAAATTGGAAATTGTGTGTTATAGCTCGTAAAAATTGTGAATATTAATGTATGCATACTTCATTGTCTTTTGGCTGAAGCGAATGAAGATGGACAAAAATTGTGTGATATAGTCCATGAGAAATGCAAATTTTGAAGTATACATATGTTATTGTTATTGGGTCCGAATGAAAATTGGCAAAGTCGTCGGTTTCCAAAGGAAATCTCGAATCTTGTAGTATGCATATTTATTTTAATTTGGTCAAAATGGACAAATTCCATAGATTTTAGCTTATAAAAAACATGAATTTTAAAGTACCAATTGCCATTGAGTCAAAAGAAATGAAATAGTCAAAATTCTTGTGTTATGTTGTCAATGAAAATCACATACCTCGTTACCATTGGTCGAATCGAATGGATGAAGCTAGTGGGTTATGTAGGAGATGATAATTGCGAATTTTGAAGCGTGCATATTCAATTGATAGTGGGTTGAACAGGATGACAATGGACAAAAATCATGAACTATAGCTCTTGAAATAATGAGTATTGAAGTACGTGTATTTTGTTGCCATTGGTTTGAAATGAACGAAAATGGGCAAAATCGTTGGTTATAAAGTAGTAAAATCCAAAATTTTGAAGTATATATATTTAATTTACATTTGCATACTTAATTTACATTTGGGCAAAACGAATGAAATTGGACAAAATTCATGGGTAGTTCATGAAATTTGTAAACTTGAAGTATTTTTTTTTTACTTAATTGACTTCGAGTCGAAAAAATGAAAAATGAACAACATTCGTGGGTTATAGGTCATAAAATCGCGAATATTGAAGAATGCATACTTCATCTCTATTGGGTCATAAGGAACACAATTAATAAAAAATAGCGTACCATTGGGCTAAGTGTCTCTATTTATGGAGGAACCCTTGTTTATGCGCATAAGGGGGTTTACACTCCATTAGACTTACGCGAGGGATATGTTATGCGTTGTTAGATTTATGAAAGCTATTGTGATAGCTTTTCAATGTAGAGGGCCAGAGGCGTCTGCTGAATAGCGACACAACGTCCTTTGCAATAATTTTTGTAGAAATTGTTGTTTACGTGGTGTTAGCAGTGCTGCGTAAATGCTCTCGTTATTTACTTTTGTAGCCTAGCATAATCTGTATGCTTTTTGTCTTGTAGCGCTTTGACGCCTCTGATTTGCTGCAGTTTGGTCTGCCAATTGTTTGCCAGTTCGGCAGAAAGTTTATGCATCGTTAACTTTATGCAAGTTGGTTGCGTAAGTTTAGCACCATGTAAGCATGCCTCGGTCTATTTTCATGCGAGTTTTGATCCGATTCTCACTCCACCTTGGTTTGAGACTTTGTGACTTAGCGTCCTTAGGCCTTAATGGGTCCATTTTGTCATGTTGAGTCCTTTGGTCACTTTGGAATGACAATTCTACCCTCCACGGCCCCCTTTGTGCCGTTTATAGGATATTTGATCGACGGTTCGACTTTTTTATGCGTCTACACCATTAGGTTAAAATGAACGGAAATGGGAAAAGCCGTCGATTGTAGACCATGACAATCATGAATTTTGAAGTATGTATACTTACTTTCTATTGGTCGAAACAAAGAAAAATAGAAAGTTTTGTGGGTTATAGCTCATGAAAATCGTGAATTTTAAAATATTTTATATTTAATTAACATGGGTTAGAAAATGAAAATGTACAAAATTTATAGCTCATAAAAATTGCAAATATTGAAGAGCACAAACTATATTGCCATTAGGACAGAATAGCATTGTTTTAAATATCCCCGACATGGCCCGATATATCCCCCGATATACCCTTTTACAGGGCTTGCCTCAACCGATATGGTCTTTAAATATCTTTTACCGCTTTTTGGCTATTTTGAGTGATAAATCCCCGATATGACCGATATATTAGCCGATATGTGGATCAATATATCTTTTTATATAGCTTGTTGCAAAGTAATATACCGTGTTTGGAATTTTTGGGCGAGATATCAAGATTTTCCCATTTTATCAAATGACATTTTGCATAATATACCGTGTTTGGAATTTTTGGGCGAGATATCAAGATTTTCCCATTTTATCAAATGACATTTTGCCCTAAAAAAAGCAGATCAAATGTTGTAACGTTGCTTTGCACTTTTGTTTGTTTTAGAAGGTTGATTAGTGATCCTAAACATATATTATTCATATTTTGTATGCTTAAATTTTATTAGATATGTTGAGATTACATTTTAATGCATTATACTATGTATGCAAACATTCATTATGGCATTCCGATATTTACCACATCCCCGATATTTCCCCGATATCCGCAATCCGATATGAATTTTGGCCATCCGATATTTCCCCGATATCCGATATTTAAAACCTTGCAGAATAGACTAAATGAACAAAATTCGTGGATTATAGTTCATAAAATCGTAAATATTGATGTACACATACTTCATTGCTGTTATGTCGAAACGAATGAAAATGAACAAAAATTGTGTTGTAGCCTATGGAAATCGCGAATTGATGTATATAGATGTATATACTTCATTTCATTGGTCGAAGTGAATAAATATGGGCAAAATTGAGAGTTATAAACTATGAAAATCGCAAATTTTGGAGTATGAATGCTTAATTTCTATTTGGTCGATATGACAAGCCCATGGAAATGACAATTTAAAGGCGCATATTTAATAGCATTGTGTTGAAACAAATGAAATGGAGAAAAATCGTGATTTATAGCTATTGAAAATCACAAATTATGAGGTATCCATAGTTAACTACAATTAGATCGAAACGAACAAAAATGGACAAAAAATTATGCGTTTTATAGCTTGTGAAATCCAAAGTTTTAAAATACATAAATTTAATTGCCACTGGGCAGAAACAAACAAAAATGGACAAATTTCATGGATTTGAAAGTATGTAACTACATATACTTAATTGTTATTCACTCAACACGAATGAAGATGTGCAAAGACTATGGATTACAACCTACACAAATCAGGAATTCCGAAGTACGCATATTTAATTGTCATTGGGTTGAAATGAATGAATATGATAAAAAATATCTCAAAGTTTTAAGTACGCATAGTTAATTGCTATTGCGTAGAAAATTTGAAATCAATGAAAGCGGACAAAAAACTTGATTTAATCCAATGAAAATTGCGCATTTTAAAATACTCATGTTTATTGCCGTTGGGTAGAAACAAAGAAAATGGACAAAAATTGTGAGATCAAGCTCATGAAAGTCGCGAATTTCAAATTACACGTTCTTAATTGCCATTGGATCCAAACAAACAAAAATGTGAAAATAGCATGGGCTATAGCCATGAAAATCGTGTTTTGAAGTATGTGTATTAAATTACCATTTGGTCTAAACAAACAAATATGAATAAATACCCATGAAAATTGCGCATTTTGAATACTCATTTAATTGTCATCACATTCTTAATTGTCATTGGATCCAAACAAACAAAAATGTAAAAATAGCATGGGCTATAGCCATGAAAATTATGAAATTTTGAAGTACACATTAAATTGCCACTCGGTCTAAACTAACAAATATGAGCAAGAGTCCTGAGTTACAACTCATGATACTTGCTAATTTTGAGTACCCATACTTCTTATATTAGGGTTAGGGTTAGGGGTAGGGGTAGGTGTTTGCAATTTTAGTGGTTGGTATAAATGTTGTGTATGGGCTGCCATCACTAACCTGTAAAATGTTCTGTGGTGCGGAGTAGACTTCTTCCAAAGGAGGAAGAAATGGAGCCACCATAGCGCTTATAACTTCCCGTAACATTATTTAGTGGCTTAAGCTTTTTAGGTCCATCGAAAATATCAAAGAATATCATAACAAAGAACTATACTATTTTTAAATGACAGGAAATCCAAAATATTGTTGTTTTTGGGTGAGGAAAGTATACATGGTGCTCATGAGAAAGGTGGTTGGAGCATAGTTTTTTCATGTAGTCTCAAGTATGCTAAGTTTTTTGGATTGAACCATTAAAACTTATGGCTTAGAATGCTTGTTGAACAAGAGTTTTATGAAGATTGGTAGCGTTCTCCGAAGTTCTCAATCAGACATAACGAGATACACCTTCATAGGAGAATAGCTCAAAAGTATATTTTAAAGAATATTTCTCAAACAGGTTAATTGGTTCTTGCTACAGATGTTTCACTGTTTAAGCATATAACATAATTGAGTAAAATACTTTAAGCATATACTTCAATAACATAATTGAGTAAAATACGTATTACTTGGTTCTGTTACATTTCCATGAGCAATACTTTAGCATGTAGTTTACCGATATCTAGGCATTTTCTACAATATCTAGAAAAATAACATTAGAGATAGCAAGGCTTTTTAGACTGTTGGCAAAAATTTTATGACCCTTTATCATCCTGATACAACTCATTGCATGAGTCAACTTCATAACAAGCAAAAATGAACAAGCGAGGCCATGACATGAATCCTTTCTAGCAAGTTACAGGAAAGAATTCTTCCTTATTAAATATTAATTATGCAGTTTAAGCTCATGCATGCACAGTTAAAAAAGCAATCTTCAAAAGGTTTTGTAGACCAGGGAAGTGCCCAGAAGAAGGAATGAAAATGTTTTACTCCCCAAGGTGTAGCATTTATTAAAGAGTAAAAGAAAACATATCCTGAAGAACATTAGTTAGACAAATCTAGAATATCTATATGAACTTTTGACAACAGATCTATGTGCTTATCACTGATTAAGGAGAAATGAAAGGTGAGTTATTGAAAAGCCCCTAATATTTGTATGGTTCTCTGATCAAATTCACCTGTTGATGCAGTCTTCGGTATCACCTTCTCCATCCAGACTACCTATATTTTCGAATAAGGGAGCTGCAGAAGAATTTTAAGCTTCGTGTTGTTCTGTGCCATGTTGATGTGGTAAGCTTAATTGATTTTAGTCTTCATACATGGATCACTGGTCTTTCTTGCTTGAAGTTGAGGGCTAACTTTAATATAAGTATTGTTTCTGAGTGGAAGAAAAACCATATGATGTAGTTAGATTTGGTGAAGTTTGAGAAGTTACCAAGTTAGTCTTACAGCAGTTTTTCATTACTTGGGTGATATCTATTTGCTCATCTCTTCGTGTTTCAGGAAGATGTAATTAAACCTTTACTTGAAGTTACGAAAACAGCAATGCTTCATGATTGCACCCTTCTATGTGGTTGGAGGTATGGTATTTTCTTGCAAGATTTTGCGTGTCTTTGTAGATTGACTCTATGTTAATTTTGCGACATATAAAATATTGGTAAGAATTTTTTCATCGTTTCCTATTTTCAAGAACGATTAAATGATACTGAAAGAGATATATTTGATACAAATACAATTTATTAGATGATACTGAAAGAGATATATTTGATACAAATACAATTTATTAGTTCTTTCTACAAGAGAAATGATTATACAAATTTAAGTATTGATTTATTTGATACAAATACAATTTATTAGTTCTTTCTACAAGAGAAATGATTATACAAATTTAAGTATTGATTAAGTAGTACACTTTTGAATTCATTTACAAGATTGTTGAGGAGCATGATGCATTTCTTCTTTACATGTATGTGCTAATTTCTGATTCCAAATGCACTAAAAAGTAAAGGACAAAGAGTTGATCCGTAGCACATACCTTTGTAGTAAAACACCATTTAATAGAGGCTGTTGTTTCTTTTGATACATATATAATATCTTCCATGCAGTCATATTTGCTAGAAGTTTCTCTCCCCAAACCTCCCCCGCGCCTCTCTCTCTCTCCCCCCTCTCCATATATGTATGTGTGTGTGTATAGGGTACTGTTCCCATTTACGAATAACAGGAATAGCTGCTCACTTGAATGGCCTAGAGAAACACAAAATTTAAATTGTAATGTTGATGAAATTACAATAGAGGAAGAGAATTGTCATATGCTTGCATAGAGAGACTACAAAGCGAATCACATATTTTTGTTTGACTTTCTCCCATCATTTTTCTCAATTTAAATAGGCATCTAGGTGCAAGTTTTAAGGTTCGATAAGTGATAGCCTTTACTCTGGAACTACTTCAATTTGTTGGCATGCTTCTTATTTAAAATGGTATTTATATTAGATTGACTTGGCTTAAAATTTTAGATGCTTTGAACCTATAAGGTGAGAATACATTAGGAAACAACTCAAGGCAAGTTTGTTGAACTTAATTTTAATGGTTCTGATTGTCAGGCTGGCGTGAGTTAGAAATATTGTTTTTATTTGTAATCTTGCTGATGTTTAGCATGTAGAATACATGATTATAGTGTTTCTATTCTAAAGGCCTCTCGTGAAATCCTTTTTCTCCTCTCTTGCTAGCTTGGAGGAGTGTGGTCGCTACTTGGAGACTATAAAGGTTTATGAAAACAAACCTTCCGACCTCATTCGTGAGCAAACAGATACGGACTATTTATCACGGGTACATATATCTGAAAGATCATTCCATTCACAGGCTAACAGTAGCTTATTTGGTGAATTTTTTGTTCTGGATGATGTCCTTTTTCCTTCTTTCTATAATTTTTCTTTTAGTTATAAAGTTTGTTGCTGGCTAAACCTCATTTGCACCAATTGTAGTACTACAATGTGTTACTGAGGACATCATACTTCTTAGCCATATGAAGTTTTGTACTTTGTTAGCTCCGACTCTGATCCTTAAATCTAATATTGTTGTTTCTGAAAATATAAGTTATCTAACTTTAAATATCTTGTCTGAAAGCACTCTCTCTTCAATGAGAGATCATCTGTCTGTTTTACTGATGTTTCTTGTAATTTTGCAGCTCACACATGCACTCACAACTGTCAGACGTGTTAACAAGACAGATGTAGTGACTCTTGGATCAACTTTCGGGGTAAGACTTGTTAGTACTACTTAGCCATTTGAATGCAAGTAAAATTCTGTTGTGGCCTCAAGTAAGGGTCTAATCTTATCGGTGGATTTTGTATTGATCATGAATTACCAAGTAATCACTCATCTTTGAAATAGTCCAAATATTATATTGATTTTTCCTATTTTCTATGTGAAATGTAGTCTCTTTCTGGGATTATGGATGCTTCTATGGATGAGTTAGCTCGTTGCCCCGGCATCGGTGAACGCAAGGTACGGTCAAAATGGCAATTCAATTAATAAATGTTCTCGCGTTTTTTATCAGCTTGTGTAAAATAACTTTGCCTTTTGAAATAAGCAAAGAGAACCATTAGAGTTGTATTATGTTGGTATGGTGATTTTAGATTTACCTCTTTCTCTTTATCTAGAAAATGGTTCTAGGGAAAATGGTAAATCGTTTTTAACTTAACTAGAATTTTTGTATACACCTGATGCCTACTTACCTTGCAACTCTCAAGTAAATGTTTATTCTCATAACTGTTGTTTAGTTATAAGTGTGCTTGCAATTTTCATCATCCCTTGGATATTATCATGTTTGTCCACTCTTGGCCTCATTTTGATTGTGGGGATTCATGTGATTGTAAATATTTTAAGCTATTACTGGCCGTGGTGATAAGTAGCTATATCCTCATAATATAGGGGTGCATCTGCAAATAATCCTTTCAAGTTTCCTTTACTGATTATTAAAAAAAACCCCTGGATCCGGTAGTATGTGAGCTGATACCACATCCCTGAAGACCTAACTTGTAAATAACAAGCAACATAAATAATTAACTTGATCAATACATAGCTGCTTAGAGATGCTTAGCATCTCAATTCATGGACCGTTACTTGTTTCATTTTGCCAATTATTTCAACATCGTATTAAATTTTTTTCTCTTCGTTGCAGGTGAAGCGCTTGTATGATACTTTCCATGAACCATTCAGGCGAGTCTCCAGCCGACCTGCAGTTGTTGCGTCTGAGACTCCCACAAAGGAGGATAACAAGGACAAAAACGTTGAGCCACCTTCAGATGAATCAGAAGTTAGGAAGGAACATACCCTCAATGTCAAGTCAGCACTCTCTGCTGCTTTTGCCAAGTATGCTGAGAGAGTAAGAAAGCCAGATGAAAAGAGTAGTTCTCCTGAAAAGGTTGAAGGCAGTAGTAGTGTTACCGCGGCCCCAAAATGAGCCATGACGGTTAAGGGACGACTAGTATTTCTCTGGATGGAGGTTAAGCCCATTCAGAAAAGGGATCGGGTTCGTCGTGTGGGCTAAAGGATGCATATTGAGACAGTGCTCGAGCTGATCATCTGTTGATTTGTGTATAGGGATTTGTTAATATTGTTCACTTGACGTTTACTTGTATTCCTGTTTCAGCCCTAACCGTGCATCCCACTTGGCCCTGTCTCTCATGCTGAACGTACCTGGGCGAGCGACAGCGATCAGACTATTTTAGGAAGGTAAAATCTTGAAGGGTGCTCGATATAAACTAAAAAAAAAGGTTAAACTGCATTAAACCACTAATAATTTGCAAAGAACATTAAGCTATGGATGCTTAAAAGCGCATTAAAATTTGCAGTTTTCATGAATGATAATACATGATTTTTATTAATTTTCTTAATTTTATGTAGTTTAAAATTTAAGAATCATGATTTTTACAGGTGCCCACGACCTTTGTAATTTTTTATTTGTTTTCAACCAAATAGAATTCAAGTATGTATACATTTAAATTTTTTATTTACATGGGATAAGGCATGGATATTGTCAATTTTTATTCATTTAGATCAAATGACAATTATGTAGCCCAAAATTCATGATTTTTATTGGATATGTTATGGTTTTTACAATATATATTTTTTGTTTTACCAAATAAAAATTATGTGTGCGTAGATTTTTTTTTTTTTCGTGAGCTACATAGCTCACGATTTTGTTAATTTTTGTTCATTTTGACTGAAGGGCAAGTAAGTACTAGTAGTTCAAAAATTAATGATTTTTATAGCACAAATGATTTTTACAAATTTTTGTTCATTGGATCAAATGGTAATTAAGTAATTTTCATGAACACCTACGATTTTTGTCAATTTCAACTCATTTCCATCAAAAATCAAGTAACAACCTATAAGATTGATGATTCATGGGCTAAAACTCATATTTTTTTACAACCTTTCTTCGTTTGAACAGAATGAAAATTAAGTATATCTACGTTCAATTTTGTAATTTTTAGAAGTTATAACCCATAAGTTTTGTCAATGTTCCTCCATTTCAAACAAATGCCAATTAAGTTGCGTGTTTTAAAATCTATGATTTTCATACGCTGTAACCCACAATTTTTGTAATTTTTTTAACTGAATGAAAGTTAAGTATGTGTACATTAAAATTTTTGATTTTTATGGACTACGTGCATGTTTTTCGCAATTTATGCGGTTTTTAAGACCAAATGGAAAATAAATATGTGAACATCAAAATTTGTCATTTTCGTGTGCATGATTTTATCAAATTTTCATTCAGAGTAAATGGCGATTAAGCATGCAGAGTTGAAAAATCCTGATTTTCATGGACTATAAACCATAATCTTTGCAATTTTTACTTGTTTCAACGGGGTGGAAATTAAATATATATGTCTCAAAATTTATAATTTTTATGGACTATAATGTAGAGATTTTGCGTTTTTCGCTTGTTTCGATAATTAAGAATGTGTAAACGAAATTTTTTGATTTTTATGAACCATAACCTTTACTTTTTTTTAATCATTTTTTAGATTTAAAGGCAATTAAGTACTTGTAATTCAAATTTCGTGATTTTATGAACTATAACTCATGATTTTTACAATTTTTCTTTGTCTTGACCAAATGGAAATTAATTATGCATGCATAAAAGTTTGTGATTTTTTTATGGTTTATAGCCCATGATTTTTTTTTTCAATTTTTATTCATCTTGACCAAAGGTAATTAAATACACATAGTTCAAAATTCATAATTTTCATGGACTATAACTCATAATTTTTACAATTTTTCTTCACTCCCACCAAATAGAAATTAACTATATGTAATTTACAATTTTCATGGCCTATAAGCTATGATTTTTGTACTATTTTATTCATTTCAACCAAATGGCAATTAAGTATGAATAGTTTAAAATTCCTGATTTTCATGGGTTATAAATTATGATTTTTATATTTTTTCCCCTTTGTTTCGACAAAGTTGAAGTTAATTATACATTTAAATTTGTGATTTTCATGGGGTTATACATCCATAATATTTCTCAAGTCTTGTTTATTTCGGCCGAAAGAAAAGTAAGTATATGTAGTTCAAATTACTAGATTTTCATAAGCTATTATCCACGATTTTTACAATTTTTCTTCGTTTGGATTGAATGAGAGTTAAGTTTGTGTACATAAAAACTTACGATTCTAACGTACTATAACATATGGTTTTTGTCAGCTTTTATTCATTTAAAATAAATGCAACTGAGTACCCATATTTCAAAATTTATTATTTTCATAGGCTATTGTCATGCCCCATGCTTGCAAACTCGTTGGTGTGGTGTAAATCCTTGGGACCCACTGGATACAACACATTGCTTTGGCTTGTTCCATTGTTAAATTGCTAGCAATTGTTATTCTTGGATCCTTAAACTTTATTATTTAAAGCCTTCAATCTCACTACCACTATTAGGTATTGCAACCATCCCACCTTGTATACCCAACGTCATCATGTCGGCATGAGAACAATTCATCCAAGTATCACCACTAGGCAAGTGTAAATTCTAGAGGTGGCTCCTACAGTCTTGAGGTGGCTTTCACCATATTCACTCCGTGTAACACTTAGTACCACATCAACATTGAGTTCCACACCTCTGAGTGCATAAACACTCTGATACCATTTGTCACATCCCGGGCTCGCAATCCTGTTGACATGGTATAAAACCTTGGAACTACTAAGTGCAGCATGTTTTTTTGCTTGTTCCATTATCAAAAATTGATAGCAATTAATTCACTTGGATCATTAAACTTTACTATTTAGAGCCTTCAATCTCACAACCAATCCGGTTGAGGTATTTGTGAAGCTGGTGGGGTCACATGGGGCCCACCTATGTGCTTGTAAACCCAGGTGATGGGTGATTGCGTGTGGGAGGCCCATGTGCTTGTTGATTGCATGTGGGACCACAAATTTTGAAGAAGGTCACGTGAAAAGATCAGGTCTTAAAGAATAATGCGTGAAAAGCTCAAGGCGTGGGGGCCTATAAATACCTAGTTTTTCTAGGTTTTCGTGTGTGTAAGGAGCAGGGAAGAAAATTTCTTTTTGGGGCGTGCAAGTACGAAAAGGGAGAAAAATTACGGCTGCTTCGTTCCTGCAGAGGGTTTTCTGCAAATGGCAAAAGCAACAGATTGTTTTTGTGCTGCGTGCAACAGAGGAAATTGCAGAGAGTGTGGTTGTCCTTTTGAGAGAGTATTTATGTGAGGGATCTGAGAGTTTGTGTGAGGGTTTAAATTGTGAGATTGTAAACCCTAGTTGTATTCTCTCCCTCAAATAGTAGATCACCCCCCTCCTTCCCCCGTAGACGTAGCCAATTTGCTGAACCACGTAAAATTTGTGTTCTTGCTGTGATTTGTATAGCTTGTAGGTTCCCTCGACAAGTCAGTCCTAGAACTGATGAGAGGAAGAGCTGATATCTCACTTTGTGGAGTTATTTTTGCTTTCAGTTCTTGTTTTCTTTGTGAAACAGGATTTCCGTTGTGATCTAATCTCTTGTTGTGCACCTTGCGCACCGGAGGTGCTGTCGAAATTTTCGCTACGCACAACAAGTGGTATCAGAGCTTCGGGTTCGGCTTGAGGCTTGTTTGAAGGATTCGCTGAACGATTCCTATTTGAAGAATTAGATCGACAACATGGGTGAAGCAAGCACATCGGGATCGTCTCTTACGAAGACGATACATAGTTTAAGCATCAATAACATGAAGATCGATCTTTCGAAGTTCGATGGCAAGATTAATTTCGGATTGTGGAGGTGTCAGGTAATGGACGCCTTGGATGTACAAAACTTGGAGGAGACTCTTGAGTTGCAAGAGAAACCTGCTGATATGGAAGAAAATATTTGGAAGAAGATGAATAGTAGGGCGTATGGAGTTATTCGGTCATGCTTGACGCCTGATCTTATTTATGATGTGATGAACGAGACGTCGGCGAAGAAGATGTGGGAAACACTCAATGAAAAGTATCTTACTAAGAGCATTAAGAATCGGCTTCACTTGAAGAAGAGGTTTTACCAGTTCAAGATGAAGAGAGGGGTTTCCATCAGGGAGCATGTTAACAACTTCACGAAGCTACTTTCAGACATGGCCAATGTGGATATCATGGTTGAGGATGAAGACAAGGCGATGCTACTTTTGTGTTCGTTGCCCGAGGTTGATTATGGTACTTTTGTCTTAACTATGATTAATGGAAGAACTACTGTTAGTTACAAGGAGGTGACCTCAGCGTTAGTGAATTATGAGTTGAGGAAGAGTGTCGATGAGTCCTCTGAGAAGGCATCGAGAGATGCATTAGTAGTTCAAGGTCGTGGTTCAAACCAAAGCAGGAGGTCGCAGTCTAGAGGTGCACATCGTGGGATTCATAGGAATCAGTGTGCTTTTTGTAAAGAAGATGGACATTGGAAAGCTAAATGCCCAAAGTTAGATCGAGCTAATAAGAATAAGAAGAAAGATGTACAAGCTTCAGAGGTGAATGTTGTCAAGACTGGTGGTAACAATTCAGATTCGGATTCTTCAGGCTATTCGTTATCCGCACTACCGTCGGTTTGTATTGCCAACTCTACAGAGTGGATGTTGGATTCGGGTACTTCTTACGACGTTTGCCCTAAGAGGGATTGGTTTTTTAGCTTTCAGAAGTTGGAAAGTGAGGATGTTGTGCTCATGGGTAATAGACATGCATGCTTTATTGGTGCTATTGGTACCGTTCGGATTAAGATGAGTGACGGGGTGATTCGGGAGTTGGATGAAGTGAGGTTCGTTCCACAATTAAAGATGAACATCATTTCACTTGGAGCTTTAGAGACAACAGGCTATAGGGTGACCTTGGTGGATGCACATTTGAAGGTCACATTGGGATCCATGATTGTGATGAAGGGCGTCAGAAGGAACAATTTGTATTATTTGCTTGGAAGCATGGCGATTGATAGGGAGCTGACGACTTCATCAGATTCGGCTAGACTGTGGCGTTGTTTGATGCTGGGATATATAATTGGTAATGTCGTGTATAGGTTGTTGAGGAGTGCTTTGACCTGCAGTTTGAAATCCTGTGAACCCATTGGTATGAGCAAGAAGACCGGGGTGGAGTTTGGCACTTCTATCCATCATTCGAGGGGTCTTCTGAGGGGTGTTCATTCAGGTATTTAGG